CTCAAACATTCAGAAAAACGCGAAGAGTGTCGTCTATAAATTATAATAATACATTACTTTAATAATTTGTAAACTTTTAGCAACAACTTTAGAAGTTTAGTAGTATATATATATTAATAAATGGGTTGGCAAGGTTATTTAGCATCCATGCCACAGTTAATCTGAAAAGAAATAACTGATATGAGGTTAATAGATATTGAAGGGCTTTGCCTTCATAGAACAAAATAAGTTTTAATATTTCAAATGCTTAAAAAAAGAAATACAATTTTACCTTATTATGTTATTACTATTTAGTATTTACTTTTTACTTATTATAAAATAATATGGGTCATCAAAAGTTTAATTTTCTATTACCTCTCACGAAAGTCGCGWTATATATATATGATTATATGTTAGTGGTTGTACTTATAATATTATTCTTCCCTCTTATCATTACTAAATTTTTTTAATGATTTTATCAAAGCGGTACGATAACAGTATAAGTGGCAAGTGCATCAGTAATGTTATGTGCTAATATTACAGTTATTGTCTATTTAATTAATTAATAATAATATATTTTATAATTGTGACTCACAAAACAAAACGTTTTAAAATTATTTTTCTTCCTTTTTTGACCATTGTGCATTTGTATAGGTATCTTCCTAATTACTAATTATGTCAAAAGAATCGAATGTTGTTGAAACAATAAAGACCCGAGTAAAAAATTGTATATTTTGTAACTTAATTACTGCCAATGATCCAAATATTATTCTTGAGCCTCGAGTAAGAATGGTTTTTATTTATTTTTATATTTTCATTAAATTTTATTATTATAATTTATAGGMGACTACTGACTACCCTTTTCTCTATATGCCTATCCTAGATTAGTTAAAATATCAATGGATTTAAATAGTTATTAAATGTAATACTAACTTGCAATCATTGATGATCAGTAATGGACTGGATTAGAGTAGTTATACTAATGTAAATTAATTTAATTACTATTTTACTAACTTGCCATTTTTCAAAAACTTTGAGTTGATAAGGCACTCGGTCTTATAATATTATGACTGCTTAACATTCACTAAATTACAATCCAAAAACTTTTGATGAAATTATTAAATTACATTTTTTATGGAATGAAAAATATTACAGAGCGATCAATTTGTAATCATTAAAGATATTAAGCCAGTGGCCACTTACCATTTCTTAGTGTTGAGTGACAAACATATAAAAAGCGCTAAAAGTTTACAGCCTAATGAACAAGATTGTAATTTACGTAAGTAGAAAAATATTAATCCACATTAATTATATGTACCTATTTTGTTTAATTTGCATAATATTTTTGTATATTCACATTAGTCAAGAGCATGGTTGCAGCTGCTAAACAAATATTATTAAACAATGGTTGTGATTTAAATGACACAAGGTATTCAAAATCATACATTACAATTATAAATGTATTCATTTTTTATGCTTTGTTGTTTTATTAGAATGGGTTTTCATTGGCCTCCATTTTATTCAATAGGACATATGCATCTTCACGTCATCAGTCCTGTTAGTTCAATGTCTGCTTTCAATCGTTTTGTTGCATTCAATCCAAGTTTTAGTTATGTTTTTGTCGATGTAAATAAATTATTTTATAAATGATAATTTTTTTATTTGTTTTATCAAAAGAAATATTTATATTAACAGGTAGATTATGTGCTGAAACGTATTGGTTGCAAAGAAAAGAATGAAATAGAAAACACATCTTCGGTCACGCAAAGCAAACTGTGATACRTATTTGACATACCCATCACAACATGTTATTTTTAAATTATTACTATTTTTATTCAATATTATTATTATTATTTAATTTATTATTATATATTATATTATTGTTTTTATTTAACAATAATACAATTATAAGATTTGATTATATTGATAATAGAAAGTTTTTAAATTTTCTATATTCAATAATAATTATTAGCCAATATTAAAGTGCCTAATAATTTTGGATCATCAAATTTTCTATTAAAATAATGCTATTTGATAGTTGGGAAAATACTTGTAGCTATTTTATAAATCAGTCATGTAATAAGTTTCAAAGTTTAAGTTTATATAGGTTGCATCTCATAATTATTATTTTTCACTAGGTCAATTTTTACAGTTTTGTATATGTTATACTGCAATCATGCAAAAAATGGTATACTATTTTGAAGTGATAAAAATTTAAAATAAAGTTATAATTATATTCACTTGATCACTGTATACATGACAATAGTGATGAAATTATTATACTATACATTTTATAAATTTATATTTTATATTTATAAGTTTGATGAACTTGATAGAATAAACACGACTCATTAATAATAATTAAATATGATTTTGTTTATATCCAAACATGACATCATTTTTTGACTGATGGTTGATAAAAGATAGCAGTTAGTAATAAATATAAAATGCTCTTACTCTGTTATTTTATAAATATAAATTAGATGAAAAGTGATTATGTGCATAAATATAAAATATAAAATAAATAAATATAAAATGCTCTTACTCTGTTATTTTATAAATATAAATTAGATGAAAAGTGATTATGTGCATAAATATAATTATTATTTTAGAGCCCTTTCAAACAAATAGATTCAAAAATATCATAAATTACATAATAGTTAGGTTTCATAAATAAAATAACAAAATATTCTTTTTGAACAAGTTATTTACAAATTGTCTCTACTATACTTCAGTCCACAAGAGATCAGTACCAGTTTTCGACCAAAACTYATCTGATTCTACGCACCTCACAAATCAACCCACTGACAGCATTCGGTACTGTTGCTGCTGGTCATTCTGCATGCACAAGAAAGTATTGATCTCTTGTGGGCCGTAGTGCATGAATAAAACTAACAACATAATGTTTTTTTTTT